TTAGGCCGCTGTGCCATTGCCTTCGAGCTTGCGCCGCTACGCCATTGGGTCCTCGGCCTGCACCCTTCGAACTTAGGCTGACTTTGTGCCTTGCCACCTCCCATTGCTGCACCTCTAGATCTCGAGAAGAAAATGCAGCTGTACCGTGCTCCCCCTGTAGTTCGTCCCTCTGTACCAAAAAGCTTGTGCACATGCCGCCCTGGGAGTTTGGCTGCTTTGAGCTTATGCTCTCGTCTCGCTTGGGGCCTTTTCTGTATTCGGCAGCATCTATATCGAGGTCTTCAGTTAAGTCTGTCTCTCTCCCTTGGCCATCGCTATTTGGTTCTGCATCCCTGGATGTGCATTGTGGCTATTTCTTCGAAAACTCAGCGCTTCGCACTTTGCCTTCTTCCACCATCTGAGGCGGGGTTTTCATTGCACACGCCAACCAACTATAGGCTTGCGCACAGAGACATTCATTGTACACACCAACTACAAGCGTGCACAGGCGAATAGATCGAAAATACGTTCATCGCACACACCAGCCAATACAAGGGTGTGCAAGTGTGCGGACAAAACCATTCATTATACACACCGGCCAAGTACAGGTGTGCGCAGGTGAACACATAAACAATTCATTGCACACATAAACCAACTGCAGGCGCACTCCTCACACACACGCGTCAAATTGCAGACGGTATACGAGATAAATACCTCTGTACACACACAAGCGCATCCACGCGTACGCGTGGAGTTGAAGGGCGTGTATATGATAAGAGTTTCTGTGCGAACACCTGCACCCACACGGATGCATCAAGTTGAAGGGAGCGTGTCTGTGCGCATACCTGCGCATGCACGCGTCGACTTGCAGGGGGCGTATATGATGAATACCTCTGCGCGCATGTTTGGGTATGAACGCGTGGACTTGCAGACGGTATATGGGAGGAATGTCTCTGTGCGCACACCTGCATATGCACGGGTGCTTCGAGTAGGAGGGAGTGTCTCTGTTGGCAAGGTGTGTGCATGCACGCAGGGACGTCCAAACAGAACATGGGATGAATGTATCTGTGCGCACATAAGCGCATGCACGCGTGGACTTTAAGGGGGTATCTCTGTCCGCAAACCTGCGCATGCACACGTACGCGTGGAGTTAGAGGGGGTGTATGTGGTGAATGTATCTGTGCGCACACCTGCACATGTACGGATGCGTCGAGTTAGAGGGAGGGTGTTTGTACGCACACCTGCGCATGTACGTGTGGACTTGCAGACGGTATATGGGAGGAATGTCTCTATGCACACACCTGCGCATGCACGCGTGAACTTGAAGGAGCTGTCCGCACACCTGCACATGCACGCGTCGACTTGCAGGGGGTGTATACGATTAATGCGCGCAGAGGCATGTTTGCGTATGAACGCGTGACTTGCAAACGGTATATGGGAGGAATGTCTCTGTGCGCACACCTGCACATGCACGCGTCGACTTGCAGGGGGTGTATATAACTAAGGCCTCTGTGCGCATGTATGCGTATGAACACGTGGACTTGCAGACTGTGCATGGGCTGAGTGCCTCTGTGCACACACCTGCAGATGCACGGGTGCGTCGAGTTGGAGGGAGTGTCTCTGTTGGCAAGGTGTACTCATGCACGCAAGGACGTCCAAACGGAACATGGGATGAATGTATCTGTGCGCACTGCACATGTACGGATGCGTCGAGTTGAAGGGAGTGTGGGAGTTATTGGATGGCCTTCACAAGGACCTGAACCGCGCCATCAACCAGCCCAATGTTGAGGAGCCAGACATCACCCGCAAGAAGCTCAGTGAGGGTAAACGAGAAGAGAAAGTGGCTGCCGAAGCTGGTCCAGACACCTTGCTATGCTTCCTACTGTGACTCACGAGTATGCAAACTCATCCTCAATCAATGTTTAGCAACACTTGCAATGTCGGTGTTGTGTCCTCGACCATTATTGCAGTCGCTTGTTTCTCATGCAATAAGGTCTCTTCTCGCGCAAACGCAGCAATCACGCCAGCTACCCACCTCTGAGCTCTGAGTCGTGCGACACGCACAAACAGGTAGTCTGACCGCTTTCGTGTCTTCGTGTCTCTCTTTGGTGATAGAAGTGCAGCAGACCCTCAAGAGGGAGAGCATGTAAGAGATGGATGCTTGCATGAGGAATGATGTACCTATGTACCTTGTCATCAACGCGCCCTGCCAGTAAGAGAAGTCACCTTCGGGTAGATTCTTCAGCTTGCTATCGGGATTCACCCGTCGATCCCTCCGCCTTGAGAAGGATGCTGGCTGAAGCCTTGGACCAACACCGTGACTACTTCATTCTTAGCACGTCACACGCATAGGCGAAGAGCACACGTAACGATAAGCCATTTTTGTATGCTTTTTTGCGCCTGCTTATACTAGATCGAATATGTAGAGCTGTAGAGCTTTTTGAAGAGTTGCACTCTCAGTCGCGGTCCCCGAGTGTTGCACAGACCACTGATTTCATGGGCATCTCTCTTAACGTCTATCGGGAGGCAGATCGATCGACGATAGATGCCTAGGGAATCCACACCTCCCTACACACAAACAGGCACACAAAAGGTGATCCTTCTGGTCTTAGATCGTTGATGTCTCACTTGATCACCACGACAGCACCCAGCGTTCTAGCATATAGGTGCTACCAATATGCGGACGCATCGGCGGCAGGTAAAGAGACCCTTTTAGCAAGAGGGAGAGACTTGCAGAGCCAAGCATCCAACCGTGAGGGATTCGCTTAAAGTTTCGTTCATTTTCAAAAGCCAGTGGAGTATTTTGAGCGAGTATTTTAGGAGAGCGCAACATGTTGACCTAAGACACTACCTGCAGAGAGAGAGACATACGTACAGTCATGTATCATCTTGTTTACCCGTCCTAGGAGTTGTCCGTTCTGTGTGTTATAGAGCTGAATTTTTCCTACCCTTTTTCTCTCTCTGACGTGGTCAAAACTCAGCAATTGACTCGTCTCATCCACCAGCTTTGCGCACCGGGCACTTGAGAGAGATCAACCAAGGAGAAGAAAGGAACAGCCAATACCTGCTGTTCTTGTCTATTTTCTCTCTAGACTTCTTCTGGGTCTTGAACATGCTTTAATTCAACACGGCCCTCTCCTTTGGTATCGAGCGGGTTTCAGTCTTAGCATGGCCATTGAGCTTCAAGTTGCTGCAAGTCAATATACACAACATCAGATCCATCGGTACTGTCCGTTCATCATGCAACCTGGCGTATTTTCTCTTAAGTCCTGTGGAGAAATGCCTCAGCTTCAGTCTGGAGGACGGACAGACATAGGTAGAGATGCACACAGCAGAGGAATGAGGATTGCCTTTGCTTTTGCGTCGTGAGATTCCCGATGGCCTTGTTCTGCAGTATGAAGAGCTCCACCTTTCATTCCCGCCGAGTAACATCAATCGCAA